CGCGCAGGAGAGGCATGTCACGTGCTGTTGTGCTGTGTCTGTTGTGTGTCCCGAGCCGAGCTGGCCCGTCGTGTGGGGGCGAGATCAGTCTCAGGCCTGTGCTCCTGCTCATCTGCTTCCTGGTGGTGGTGAGAGTACCTGCCCAGGCCCACCTGTTCACACCTGCCCACACCTGTTCATACCTGCTCACACCTGTTTCCACCTGCCCAGGCTCACCTGCCCACACCTGTCCAGGCACACTTGCCCAAACACACCTGTTCACACCTGCCCACACCTGTTCATACATGCCCAGGCCCACCTGTTCACACCTGCCCACACCTGCCCACGCACACCTGCCCAGACATACCTGCTCACAACTACCCAGGCCCACCTGCCCATACCTGCTCACACCTGCCCAAACCTACCCAGGCATACCTGCTTGCACCTGCCCAGGTCCACCTGCCCACACCTATTCGCCCTGCCCACATCTGCGCAGGATGTAGAAATGCAGGCTCCTCGGGGCGCCTGGGTGGCTCAGTCGGTTAAGCGTCCGACTTTCGCTTAGGTCATGATCTCGCGGTTCGTGGGTTCGAGCCCCGCGTCGGGGTCTGTGCTGACTGCCAGCTCAGAGCCTGGAGCCTGTTTCAGTCTGTGACTCCCTCCCTCTCTGACCCTCCCCTGCTCACGCTGTCTCTCTCTCTCTCCTAGAAATAAATAAAAATATTTTTTTAAAAAAAGAAAGAAATGCAGGTTCCTCAAGGAGGCTGAGTGATGTCATCACCCAGAATTCCACTTAAAAACGTGAACCAGCACAGGCGGCAGGACTCGGCACCTTCTGTAGTTATGAACGGCCTGAGACCCTCCTCTTACGTTGGGGCAGCTGAGTGCAGAGCTGGGCGTGGAAGTTCTCATCACACTTGCCTCCCGCTAGCTCTCCCCTAGTTCTTATAACAAACCCCAGCCCGCTTTCCGCCAGTGAGCTCACCGGGTGAGGGTGGAGGCTCCGGGGCCAATCCTGGACGAGTTACACACGTGGATTTCAACTTCTCTTCTTATTACTGTAAACAAATCGATGAAAGGCTATTTTTTAAAGCAATCAAAACAGAACTTGAAACAGATAATAGAGGTGGACTCCTCCTCGGTGAGAAATGCTGAAGTCCCAGCGGAGCCAGACAGATCCCAAGCTCAGCAGGGGCCCTGTCACACCCTGTGGGATCCTGTCGCACCCTGTGGGGCCCTGTCGCACCCTGCGGGGCCCTGTCACACCTGCGGGGCCCTGTCACACCCGCGGGGCCCTGTCACACCCTGCAGGGCCCTGTCACACCTGCGGGGGCCCTGTCACACCTGCGGGGGCCCTGTCACACCTGCGGGGCCCTGTCACACCTGCGGGGCCCTGTCACACCTGCGGGGGCCCTGCCACACCTGCGGGGGCCCTGCCACACCCTGCAGGGCCCTGTCACACCTGCAGGGCCCTGTCACACCCTGCGGGACCCTGTCACACCCTGTGTGGCCGTCACACCCTGCAGGGTCCTGTCACACCCTGCGAGACCCTGTCACACCCTGCGAGACCCTGTCACACCCTGCAGGGTCCTGTCACACCCTGTGGGACCCTGTCACACCCTGCGAGACCCTGTCACACCCTGCAGGGTCCTGTCACACCCTGCGGGACCCTGTCACACCCTGCGAGACCCTGTCACACCCTGCAGGGTCCTGTCACACCCTGTGGGACCCTGTCACACCCTGCGGACCTTTTCGCACCCTGTGGGATCGTGTTGCACCCTAGGCTTCCTGCAGAATTGCCAGGAATAGGGATGTTTTGGACGGGAGTTTATTTTCGGAAAATCAGATCCAAGCCACCGAAGGTGATCAGTCTTTCCCTGGTGATCCTGCAGAGCCTGGGGTGGGGGTGGGGTGTTTCTGAGACCTCCGGGAAAGCTGTACAGCCATCAGAGGTGTCAGGATTACTGGCTTTTTCTAACAGCTGCTGACACAGTCACATATATGTTACTAGTTAGTCAGTTAACAGAAATAACTTATTGTCCTTTTTCTTTCTCATAAAAGTGAAGACAAGAATATTTAAGTTTTAGTAGCAGGTAACTGAGCAGAGGTCAGTATCAAAGCTGTACTTTCTCTACATAAAGCAGCTTGGTGGCGTGTGGGCTTGGGAACAGATGGTCCGTGCACGAGCGGGGACGGGGACACAGACCGTGTAGAGGGAGCAGGAGCTGGACAGCATCATCTGGGAGGCCTGACCACAGACTGCGCTGCCACCAGAGCCCTTTCCCTGGTTGGCGTGGACAGAGCTGGCAGGCGGTGGAGGGCTTCCCGTGGGACTGCAGAGATGGGTGCGCAGGGAGGAAGTCATTCTGATCCTGAGAGCCTGGCCCCAGTAGTTAGGGGATGGCTCAGTTGTAGGGGTGGTCCCAGGGCTGGGGGGGGTGGTGGTCCCAGGGCTGGGGGGGGTGGTCCCAGGGCTGGGGAGGGGGGTGGCCCCAGGGCTGGGGAGGGGGGTGGTCCCAGGGCTGGGGAGGGGGGTGGTCCCAGGGCTGGGGAGGGGGGGTGGTCCCAGGGCTGGGGAGGGCTGGTGTGAGCAAGGAGGTGGAGGGTGAGGCATCTGCTCTGAGGCTGAGAACTGGGAGTTCAGAGAGGCACAGTGTGGGGCTGGGCATCAGTGGGTCCCCGGCACAGACACATCAGAGGCCGAGATCATATATACCCTTGAGACAGCTATCTCCGTATACAAATATATGTTAACATTGGTTGAGTAGATTTGTATACTTTTGCAAATGAAGACCTCACTGTTCAAACTTTTAACACTTCATATCTTAATGTTTGGAACCAAAAAAAATTTTTTTTCAGATAAGGTTGAATTCTTTACTACCTGAGTTCACCGTTCGCATAGATGCCATTTTTCAGAGCGACTCAGGGGATAAAAGTATCCTTCACTGAAATTTAGTGCAGGACAAGCATGTGCAAATCCCAAAGGGAGGTTTCGAGAGGCTTAGCCCTGCTCTGAAGGATGCATGATGCTGAAATCCTGTCCCGCCTGTAACACGGTGTCAGGGCCTCACGCCATGACACCGTGGCCGCTGGCCCCGCCTGTCCCGCCTGTAACACGGTGTCAGGGCCTCACGCCATGACACCGTGGCCGCTGGCCCCACAGCCCCCTCCTCGGTCCCGCTTGCCTCACCCCGTTCCACGCGGCCAGGCCTGGAGAGACTCTGTGCCTGGTTCAGCTGCAAGGGGAGCTCTGGGGTCTGCGTTCTGGGTTCTCTGAAGCCCCCACTCCGCCCGCAGAGGTAAGTGTCCCGCACCTGGGACTCTGCAAACGCCATTCACGCCTCTCATGCTGGGTCAGAGCTATAGACAGGACTCCAGCATGCAAATTTTACAACGTATCTGTATAGCCGGTATCAGTAATCTTTGTGTCGCCCTGTGTGGGTGTTCACCTGACAGACTCTGGGCTCTGCCCCGGCTCAGAGCTAGACGGGTGCAGGCACAAAGGAGAGGGGGAGACAGGCCGGGAGGCAGAGACAGAGGGCCCTGGGTCACACCAGGGGGCCACGCAGGCTTTCTGGGCGCAGCTGCCGTGTAAATGAGAACTCTGTTAGTTAGCTGAGATCAGTACCCTTACGATTAGTAATGAGGGCTGCAATTCATCCTCAACAAAGTTTAATATTAGTTCAGTGGCCAGAAATAGTATTAACAACTAACTTTAAATACAGGGAGCTTGAAGAGAATTTCAGTGTGAAAAGAATAGCGTTTTCTTTAGTTTCCCATATTTAACCAAAGACTTAAAAGTTAAAACCAATCCGCACGAAGGCAGGAAACAGCAGCACCTTCTATTTTGGGGCAGGTACCTCAGTCTTCCCCGAAGCCGTGTGTGTCTGGGGACAGGAGGGCTGACGGGGACGGCACCGCCAGCCTCTGGTCTCCGCAAGGTCCCTTTAATTAAAACCGTCTGTGTAGTTTTGTCCCCAAGAAACAGCAGAAATGCTAACGAGTTTCTGGGATTCCTGTTTTATGGTCTGTGCCGACTTAATGACACCCGGGAAGCCGACTTTGCACGTAGCGTGAGGAAATTCTACAAAAGGAGGAGGTGACGTGTGTTTCCATATTAAACGGCTCTTGTGTGTCTGGGAAGTAACTCTCTCAATATGCTTCCAGTTTGCCGCCTGCTCAGCTTGATGGGCAGGGACCTGCCTACCCCCATGTGCTGGCACTGCCCGCACCAGCATAGGCCCACGCCCACCCATGCACACCCACCCGCACATACTGCACATCGGCACAGGCCCATGCACACCTGCACACACGCCCATGCACACTCACAGTACATACCTGCGCCAGCCCGTGCACCCACGCACACTCATACTGCATGCCTGCCCATGCATGTGCACCCACGGACACCCAAGTGCCCTCATATTGCACACCCCTGCACCTTGCACACACATCGACACACATGTATGTACCCCCAGCACACACTCCCATGTGCATGTTCATTCCCATGCACAAGTGCATACACGTTCACCCACACAAATGTGCATGCACACACGAAGATTCCTATGTACACATCCACCCACACACGTGTGCACACACTCATGCACACACATTCCCACATGCTTGATCATCCCACATGTGCATGCACATGCACATTCCCACTCACACTTGTGCACACACATTCACACACGTGCACGCATACACATGGAGATTCCTATGTACACATTCACCCACACATGTATACACACACTTGTGCACATGTTTGCCTGTACACACTCATGTACATGTTTGCCCACACGTGCCTGTGCACACCCATGTGCACACACATACATGTTCACCCACAGCCCACATGTGCACACACATTCATACACCTATGTTCACCCACACATGTGTGCATGCTTGCACACTCATGTACACACACACACAAACTATTCCAGTTGCTGTGGACACTGAGTTTGAACAGGGCCCTAACAAAGCTTGATGACCTGAATCTTAACACTGTTGCCACTTTTGCAACCCTGCAGCCGACCAGACGGGGATGCTGTTCGTCGGAGATGCAGTCCTGCAGGTCAGTGTTTCAAACTTGAGCCTCTGCTCTGTTGTTTCTCTTAAACTTAATCAGTGATTATCCTCAGAATTTTCAGCTTTCCATCTGTTGTCTGTCCAGGTTAACGGCATTAACGTAGAACACGCGACCCATGAGGAAGTGGTGAGTGTGCCCGTTTCTTATTACGTGTTCTTCTGTCCTAATGACTTTTCTTTGTAAGCGGTACTTTGCTGAGCGTGTCCCTCCACACAGACTCTGGAATTGGAAGGAGAGCTCAGAAGACTTGGTGGGGGCGCGCCTGGGGGCCTGGGTGAGAGTCCCAGTGTGGCAGCGAGGTGTGTACCGGGCGCCGTGGGACGGGTCCGCACGGGCCAGGCAGGGTGGATGGAGCGGCTCCTGTTGCAACCGGGGCCGTGTGGACGTGCTCCGGCCGTGTTGAGTCGCATCCGTCAGCTGTCTGCTGGCCGGCCGGCTGGAGCACGCTCATGTGTACCGTGGGCAGAGAGAGGCCTCGCAGGATGTCCCGTAATGCACGCACCTGGTGACCGTCTGGGACGAGGGCTCATCAGCACACACGCGCCCCAGCTGCCTTCTGTGGCAGAGGACGGTGCCCAGGGCAGGGCAGGTGCAGACACAAGGAGGGGTGAAACGCACACCCGGCGTGAGGCACTGCTGCAAGTGCACACAGTGGGGTGGGGCCGCACCCCAGTACCGCCCCGGGGGTGGGCGAAGCCGCACAGGCCCTTTCCTCAGCTTTTGGAACCGAGAAGGGGGAGGGCGATGGGTTGGGGTGCAGGCCAGTGCGTGCAGGGGCGGTGGCTGGGGGGTGAGGCGGGAAGGAGCGCCTAGGCCCAAGGGGGCAGGTGTTAGCACCCCCCACAGGGAATTTATTCTGCAGGTTACAGGGAGCCAAGCGTAACTTATGACCTTCCCCTGGGAAGGGTGGGCGTGCGTCCATTCATCAGCGTGTATCTTCCCAGGAAGCCTCCTCCCGGCTCACGTAGGGCAGAAGGTCCCCCGAGGTGGGTACCTGGACTCCCAGACCCCGGCACAGAGTCCCCAGAGCCTCGTAGCCTGTGAAGAGTTGTGCGCGGTCCCCTCTCCTCACTCGGGGCCTGGACCTGTGCCAGGTGTGGGGAAGGTGCTTGCGCTTGGGACAAACGTGTTTGTTGGCCTCAAGGGACGTACAGTTTGGGTACGTGGAAGCAGGTTCTCGTCCGTTTCCTTTCTGAGCTTGACATTTGTATGTGTTTTCTGTTCCATAAACAGCTGCCTTTTTTGAAGCACATGATTCAGGGGGACCCGCCCCGCCCAGCACTCATCCAAGAAACCAGTTCTTGAGTAAACAAGGTGCAAACGTTATAAACCGAGCCATTCCAATATTTGACACAAATTTACTTTTAAGTCACACTATCAAATTATTCATCTACCCCCTTTTTTACTTTAGGGAGAGTGTGTCAGGCAGAGTGACTGAGAGAGGGCAGGAGAATCCCAGGCAGGCTCCACGCTGTCAGCACAGCCCGACCCGGGGCTTAAACCCACGAACCGTGAGATCATGACCTGACCTGAAATCAGGAGTCAGACACTCAACTGCCTGAGTTCCCCAGGTGCCCCCACGTCTACAGAAAAGACATGATTGCAGCCCACCGCTGAGGAGACGGATTCATTTTCCAGGTTCATAAAGTTCATAAAAATATAAAATTTGTGAAGACCACAGAAATCACACAGTCTCACACCCTCATTGTTCAGAGTAAATTCTAGCTTCACTTAATTCTAAAAGGGAAAATGTCAGTTTTGCTCAACAGAAAAGATCCACAGAATGATTCATAATCACCCACATTCTGCCCCAAGCTTTGGAAAAGCTCTGATGCGATGGGGACGGAAGTCAGTTTCCACGTCATGCGTCTGTGGGAATAAACACGCAACTTTCCTTTCTAACACGCCTCGCATCCTCCCCCGTCAGTGACACGCCTCGCGTCCCTACCCCGTCGGTGACATGCCTCGCGTCCTCTGTCAATGACACGCCTCGTGTCCCCCATCGATGACACGCCTCTCGTCCTCTCCCATCGGTGACATGCCTCGCGTCCCCCCCGCCCCCGTGGGTGACACGCCTCGCGTCCTCCCCGTCAACGCCTGCTGTCAGGGCGGCCGCAGCAGGAGTAAGGGCCCTTGGGCACGTCCGTGCACTGGGCGAGTTCTGACACCTGTCACCCCAGAGAAAGGAAAGTGAGAGCCTGACCGCTGCCTGTGGAGCCTGGGGGCGCCTGGACGGGAGGTGACGGCTCGAGCAGCGGGGCCCCGGGCACGCGGGTCAGCGAGGGGCGGGACCGCGGCGGCTGTGCAGGGGGGCTCACAGCAGCCGGGGCGGGGGTCTGTGCTGGCAGGACCCCGTGACAGAGTCCGTTCTGCAGCGCGGTCAGACGCTCAGATGCGGACACCGCAGGGGACCCTCCCATGTTGTGACGGGAAGTTACTTGTGCTCTAACGTGGCGGACTGAGTTCTCAGGCCCTGTGAACACATGGGTGAAAATTGCCCTAATCAGTAAAAGTTCACTAACCTATTTCCCGGAGCCTCCTACTTAAGTTGAAATTAGTCATTTCTGTACGTATTTCAGTCATTGGTAGGACTTCTGTTCCCATGAAGGCCTCAGGGCAGTTTCTAAGTTCAGGTGGCTTTGAACTTAAGAATCCACAGAAGTAAAGTCAATCTTGTGTGTTAAGAACAAAACAAAGAAAACTGTGTGGAGCTCGGAGCACCTGGCGCCTTGCGGGTCCATGTCCTGGCTGGGCCGCCATCTGCCTCAGCGGTGAGCCAGGTCAGAAGTTTCCCTAATGAGAGCGGACGCCCACTTCCTCCAGGTCACCCACATGACACACATTCCCAGAACTTCGGCACCAGATCATGCAGAATGAGGCCTCTCCTTCAGGGCTGAGGGTGGTCTGGTGGGGAGCAGAGGCTGCACCCCTGCCGGCGGCCAGCCACCCGATCTGGTGTCCGCGCTTGGCTCCTGGTAGAGACGGCGAGCCCTCAAGACGCCTGTCACCCCATCCCAGGGGTTCACTCTCTGCCTCCTCCCGCGACCCCCCCACCACATCTTCTCTTCAGGGGTCAGGGGTTAGAGTGCCCTCCGCCCTGCTCTGTGAGGACCTGCCCAGAACCTCCCATCTCCATGAACCAACAGAAGGTTCCAGCAGCCTTCCCATCTCGTGAGGAGGAGCCTTAGAGCAGGATGGAGAAAGAGGCTAAACTGCATAGATTATGTGAGTGATGGATGGAAGGATGGATGGATGGGTGGATGGATGGGTGGATGGATGGGTAGATGGGTGGGTAGACGGGTGGATGGATGGATGGATGGGTGGGTGGGTGGATGGGCGGGTGGATGGGTGGATGGATGGATGGATGGGCGGCCGGCCAGGCGGGCAGGTGGATGGATGGGTGGGTGGGTGGATGGATGGATGGATGGGTAGATGGGTGGGTAGATGGGTGGGTGGGTGGATGGATGGATAGATGGATGGATGGGTGGGTGGGCGGCCAGGCGGGCAGGTGGATGGATGGGCAGGTGGGTGGGTGGGTGGGTAGATGGGTGAGTTATGGAGAGAAGATTAGATAGATAAATTATCAACGGGAGATTAAACGGTAGAGGTAGATAGGTGGATGACAGGGATAGATGATGAGTAGGTTAGCAGACGGGGAGCGAGAACTTAATGATGATGTTCTCTCACTCCCAGGTTGGAAAGTTGCTGGGGAGGTGGTTCTCAACCTCACGGCACAGGAGTCAGCCAGCGCCACTTGGAGATTTCAGTAGGTGCTTAGTTTCAGCACGACTCTGCCCTAGAGTCCCGACCTCTTAATCAGTGGAGTTCAAGGTCGCAGGAGTGGGAACAAAACCTGTAACGGCCTCCTGGTTGTGGCTCACGAGCGAGGAGTCAGCGGCTGTGGGCAGAGCCGTGGGGGTCACCAGTCCTGTTCCCGTGCTCACCTCGTCTACCACAACCCAGTGCAGCCCAGTCCCCGCGGAGCTGGGGTGGGTGACGTGCTCCTCGTGTTGTGGCTCGCTGAGCTGAGGTCCCCACTCAGACCCCACCAGAGCCCAGGGACCGGCCTGCTGCCCGAGGAGCTTTTTCAAGGCGAGAACATGTATTAGACACGGTTTTATTGACGTGGCCTTGTTCCCAAACCCAGGGCTGTGCGTGTGATTAGCCTTCTGCCCCCCCAGGAGCCACCTGTGCGGATGGCCCCTCCCGGCACCTGTGGGTCTTGAGCCCTGCTGCCCAGGTGACAGAGCACGTGGGTGAACAGGGCGCTGAGCCCTGTCACCATCGGCCGTCTGGGAAGATGTCCCATCAGGCTCCGCAGGGACCTCTGGGGGTTGGGTTGGCTTCCTCATTGTAGAGGTGCAACATGCAGCAATGTGTCCTTTGGCCGGAGAGCCTGACCTGCCCCAGGCCATCTGCAGAGCACACGGAGGTCACAGGCCTGCACGTGTTGTGGGGTCATTCTCGCTCTCCGCACATTACCAGGTCTTCTGCGGCACCATCTCCGCACGTTACCGGGTCCTCTGCGGCACCGTCTCCTCACGTTACTGGGTCCTCTGCGGCACCTTCTCCTCACGTTACCGGGTCCTCTGCGGCACCTTCTCCGCACGTTACTGGGTCCTCTGCGGCACCTTCTCCTCACGTTACTGGGTCCTCTGCGGCACCGTCTCCTCACGTTACTGGGTCCTCTGCGGCACCGTCTCCTCACGTTACCGGGTCCTCTGCGGCACCGTCTCCGCACGTTACCGGGTCCTCTGCGGCACCGTCTCCGCACGTTACCGGGTCCTCTGCAGTGCTGCCTTGTTTCCCCCAAGTTGAAGAAGCAGGATGTCCCCAGGTAGCAAACCAGGATGCCCTGTGAACCGGGGACTGAGTGACAGTCACTGGCACAGCCCGGAGGCTGGTGTTTGCCAACAGCTGGAAACTGTAGAGAAGGGAAGGTGGGCATGTGGGCGGGGTACGTGAGGTACCAGGTATGTGTCACTTGCTCGGGGACCATGACTGAGGTTCCCTGTGTTTACGGTAAAGCCCTGTTGTCCCTGACAGCACACACCTGCTTTACGCCTGGGCCGGGAAGAGAGGTGGGCTGGGGATGCGGGAAGGGCGTCCCTGCCTTCAGTCCTTCG